CCCTCTACAGGGACTGTTCGCTGTTCGAGTGCCAGGCCTCGCTCTGAGTCTAGGCTTCCCTACCCTGGGTTCCAGCTCCGGCGACGTAGGGGGCCGCGGACCTTGAGGTGGGGGCTTTCGTGCTCCTCCACCGTGGAATGGGGGCAGCAGAAGGCCACCGTCCCCCCAGGGGATGACCGCCGCTCCGCCCCCTACAGCCCAACACCTCCCGGCCCAGCGACCTAGATAAATGGACCTGGACTTGGCTGAGACGTTGAGAGACACTTTCCGGTCCTTCATTCCTGCCTCACTGCGTCGTTACTGCGCCCCCACCTGTCCCCAGAATCTGGTGCCCAGGGGGACCTCTGCTAAGTAGCTTCCTTCGGAATCTCCCGCTCCTGCCTCTCCCACTTCTCACTCTTGGAAAAGGGCAGAGGGTAGACTGGGGAAGACCCTCCAGAACAGTCCCCAATCCATGGCCGTGCCCCCCCTGCGCACACACACACACACACACACACACACTGCTCGTCGGTGTATCTTCCTCATCCCCTGCCTCTGCCCCCATATCATCTTGTCTCCTCGCCTTTTTCCCTGAGGTCTCTGTTCTCTTCCAGATTCTTTTCTGGCTTTCTCCTCCCCACTGGCTTCCAAAGCCAGTGGGCTTTGGAACCAAAGAGTAGTGTGTGCGGATGCAGGGGCCCAGCCAATGAGGGTGGGATGGGGAGCAGTGGAGAACTCCAGGAGCAGAGGAACCAGAGGGAGGGGCTGGTGAGAGCTTCGTGTTTGAGCATTCATTTGCAGTTTCTGGGAGCAGGAGCACAAAAGGAAGAGAGCAGGCAAGAGAGGGTAGACTGGCGGTGAGAGCAAGCAAGAGTGGGAGTCTAGCAGGATCCCTGATAGACTGAACGCGCCCCTAAAAGCACCCGGACTTGAGTAGCAGAACCATCCCCTGGATAGGGTCCGGGGAGGAGCTAAGAAGAAGCAAGGCATGAAAGGACCCGGGGCGGGAGGGCGTAGAGAGCTCCTGGGAGGGGTCAAGGGAAAGGGGGCGTGGTCAGTGTTGGGGGCGTCTGAAGAGGTGGAATGCGCTTTTTGCTGGCTCAGCCATTCGAGACCCACGGGCTGAGGAGATCTCTTCGGGGCGGGGCTGGGCTGGCGCCCGGAGTGGTGACGACGAGTGCCCAGCGTGGGGAAGAAGCGAGCCCTGTGAGCCGAGAGCCTTGGCAGGAGCGGAAGGCCCCTGGACGGCCTGGGTCCGAAGATGGAGCTGGAGTCTGGGCACGTGACAGAAGCCAGGGAGATGGCGCGGGTGGACGGGCTGCGCGCGGCGGCTGGGAGCGCGGAAAGGGCGTGGCCGGGCTGCTGGGGCGCCTCTGCTGTCAGCTGGTCAAGCCACAGAACCCGGGGGTCACGTTCGCATGGCTCACCCGGCACGACCAGCTGGGCCCCTGGAGCTAAGAAATAAGGCCTAAACATCACGCAGGTGAGAAGCACTGGGGAGCTCGGGTAGCAGGGTGTCCTTCCCCTTAGCCCAGTCACAGGCTTTCTTTCTCGGCGGGCTCTACCGAGTGGGGGCGCCCTTGGACCCCGCTCCGGACTCCTGGTCCTTCCCCAGGCCCTTCTGCCCAGGCAAAGTCAAAAAGTTCCTGACTCCGAATCTTCAAACCCGCAGTCCTTCCTCCAGATGGCTGAGGAGCCTAAATGGGCCGGACTTGCGTGACTCTGCCTCCCCTCAACTGATCCTGCCTCCCCCCAGGGACCCAAACATCCTAATGTGAACCTCTGTCCTTCCCGTCTGGGTCCCCTATCTTACCGACTGATCGGTTTCCCCTCTGAGACCCAGGGGCCCACAACCCAGTCCCCTGGCTCCCCCACACTAAGCCCGCCCCTCGTTGGGGCTCCAGGTGCCTATTCCGAGGACTTGCCCCTGGTTCCTCCACCTCGAGGCGGGGACAGGCTTTCACGTACCCCGCTCCACTTGGCGGGGCACAGTCGGACCTTCCGAGGGGCCCTGCTGGCAGCCGGTGGGTGTGACTGTGGGAGTGAAGGTGCTGAGGCGCTGGGATCTCCAGCCCTTCCGCTGCCCACTCTGCGCTCACTCTCGCCCCCCACGGGAGCATCCATTGGGTCTATTCAAGGCCTCCGCGCTTCTGGCCCGGCAGGGCTTGTGCAGCTGGCGGCGCTGCGGGTCTCTCTCACCTCGCCGCTGCCCACCGAGGTCGTGTCGGAAGCTGATGGCGACGTGGCACGCCTTGTACTGTCGCCTTCTGTGCAGCTTGATGTTCATCCAGGACTAGCAGACCTACTGGCCACGTGAGAGCAACTTGCGCCTCCTGGCGGCCTAGGGCCTGGAGTAGCACGAAGACAGCTGCTAGCACCTGCGCTTACTCACACCGTGCATGAGCCCCTGCCCTGTTCCGCATGGCAACTACAGCAGGAGGCACTGCTTCAAAATCGACGCCTTCCTCAGCCCTGGTGCACAGGAGCAGAGCCAGCTTTTGTGGGACCTGCAAGGCCAAGCCTGGCACCTAGCAGGTCTCCATGTCATGCTCCAGCTCTTCCTGGCATCCCAGTTATGGTCGCAGCTGGCTGACTTCCGCCAGGCCGGCTTGGGGCTCCAGCTGGTCAAGGGTTATGGAGAACAGTACCTGCTGGAGGCCTACCTGTGGGACCCTCCTCTAGGAGGGGAGAGGAGCATTTAGATCTGCCCTTTTCAACAGACCTTGAGAAAGCCCAGTTCCAGTGTTTGCAAGCCCCACCTCGTCTCCCACACATCCTTGTTGCCTGGAAAGCCTACTTGCCCTCATCCCAGTGCCCTCGCTAACCTTTTAGCCTTGCCTCTCAGTCGGCCAACTCACATCTAGCGCACCCAAACTCTGTGGCCCACATCTTGATCCAATCTGCGGGTTTGGGAGAGGCCCTTGCTCTGCCCTTACCCACCCTTTCCCCTTAAGGGCCAAAGGTTGGGTTCCATCACAGGCTTCAATCCCTTTCCTTGCCCATCGCCCTGGCCTGGTGGGGCACTCTGCCTTTCCTGGCTTCTCCCTCTGCCACCTTGTGGGTGGAAGTGGCTAGGGGGACGTGCAAGGTCCAGCTGTCCAACACGTATTACTTTCCTTCCTCCCGCCCTTTCTCTCCCCCCCCTGCCTCCCTCTAAGCCTCTTGAGCCTCTGTGTCAGTGTCCCCTCTCTCCTCTCTGTGCCCCTAACCTCCCACTCCCGGGACCTCCCAGACACTTAGCTCCTCATTGCCCATAGTCTGCTCCTCCATTCCTCTCCCCCATGACCTCTTGACCACCCACCCCGTGTGCAGGACGGAGAGTGAGCCTGGAAGTGAAATAGAATTTTAATACCCTGTTGACCCTCTGGTGATGCATCTGTCCAAGTCTGCCCCCTCTGACGGGCTTCCTCCAACTTTGCACAATGTTGCTGTTTCACAGGCTCCCTTCCCATGTCCCCAAACCAGTGGCCTGAAGCAGGACAGGAAACCAGGGGTTTCGGCTGGGGAGGGTGGGTTCCTCAGCCCAGTATGGGCCTATCTTCTGGTTCTAACCAGGCTTCCTTCTAGTACAACTGGAACCCCCACCCCCAGATACTTCTGGACATCTCTCCCTTTCTCTGGTTCCATTAAGGCGGGGTTTTTTTGGGGGGTGGGTGGGGACTTGGACAGTTTTCTATTTCAGTGCAAATAGTAACAGCTGCAATTGTACAGGCCGTCTTCTACACCGGATCCTCACAGCCTCCCCTGAGAGAGGAAATAGAGGCTCAGAAAGATCAAAGCGACTTCCAAGTCATTCAGAGTAGCTGGGAGCCTGGCAAGGACTAGAGTTCATGTCTGTCCCCAGCCCAGAGCATGCCTCAGACCCTTACTGGGTGTGGCAGGGACTGCTTGAATTTCTTGTTGGACGATGGACACTTGCTGAGGATTTGTTGACATTAAGCACAGGGGTCACTGGGGATGGAATCAAAGCCGTGGGCAGAGGAGGGAGCCAGGAGGTGGGAGAAGGTGGGCACAGAAGACCCCCGCTGCTTCCTCATGTCCCCCAGCTCCAGTTTTGCTGCTGTGCTGCTGCCTTGCTTGTCTGCCTTCAGCACCCGGCCACACTGCCACCCTCCCTGTCACTTCAACCGTGGTTGTATTACAATAAAAAGGACCCTCAGCCCACCCTCTGTGTCTGTTTCACTTGTCAGTGGGGGCAGGGGGAGGCACATTATCCTCTCCCCTTCCCCAGCAGCCTGTATTAGTTCTCTAAGCCCTGTAGCAATGGGGCTAATGGCTTCATAGAGCTGGAGAGGGCTGCTAGCCTTGCGCAACCCCACCCTCACCCCAGCCAAGCGGCTGAACAGAGCTGTAGATCAGAAGCCAGGCTGGCAGCTGCGATGCGCCCCAACAAGCCTGGGTCTCCTTTCCTCTTGTCCTGGGAGGCCTCTTCTATCCAAAATTTATGGGCTTTTCTCCCAAGTTCCCCTTGGCTACCAGGACCCGCCTCCCTCAGCCCCAGAATCTAGGCATCTAACTCCAAGCTCTCCTAGCTTTCTGGATTCCTGGGTGGTCATCGCCAGAAAGGGGGAGGAAGTGAAGGGATCTCGGGCACCATCCCCACCCCAAACATGCCCGGAGCCAAGCTCCAGAGCTCCGAGGGAAGGGGATGCTGGGTTGAATTTGGCAGATTTTTGCGTACCTGACCCTGGCGTGGGTGCCCCTAGGAGCATATGGAATGTGCCCTACAATTCCCCGTCTGATATGATCCATGGGAGACACTGAGGACAGAACTTCCCTAGAGGGAGGTGTATCGGGCAGTGACACGGACTGAAAAATGGCCTTCTGTAAGAGTTGGCAGGACAAGGTGAACAGGGACTGGGGATCCAGTGCTGGGGTGTGGGAAGCAGCCCCCCCCCCCCGGGTCGTCTCACACTGCCCACCTCCCCGCAGTGGTCTTCCTCCACCTCAGCAATCAGCAGGAATTCGTCCCTCTCCTGGCCACCTCCCATTATGACACCGACCATCTGCACCTGACCTCTGGCAGATCTTCGACAACCTCCTGGTGAGTGAGGGGGCCCCCTGCTCAGAGAAGCAGTGTGCCCCTCTCTGAAGGAGGATGCAGACGCACGTGCACACGCACAAGTGCTCACCTGCAGGGTCTGCTTCTACCTCGGGACAGGCTGTTGTGGTAGTGGGTTTCCTGGGTGGGACCAGATGGAGTGAAGAGGGCACAGGACAAGGTGCGCAACACTCCCCTCCCGCAGGACTGGCAGGAGCAGTACATTCACGAGAACTACAGCCGGGCCCTGGAAGGGCAGGGACTTGTGGAGCAGGTGAGTCCCCCGTGGGACCCCAGACTGCCCTGGTGGCCGTCGCACCCTGAGTCCACTGCTTGGATTAGCGGTCTCCCAGCACTCCTCCCTCCCATGCGTCAGGCTGCTCTCTGCAGGCAGATAAGGGCGCAGGCTGGGCAGAAAGGCCTTCCAGCTCCCCACCCACCACTACCCCAGTGGTCCTCGGGGCTGTTACTGTTATGGGTGAAGCGACAGTTTTGTAAAGAAGCTCCGAGCCCGGGACCCCAGCACCTCCTGCCACCTGTGCTGTGCTCTCTGAGCTGCTCCCACCATCTCTGATCCAACCTGGTCCCACGCTGGCTGTGGCCCATCCCTGTATTCAGACCCCCATGTCACCAGCTCCTCTGTGTCTTGCCTTCCCTTTTCGCTCCCGGTCTTTTCTCCCCTCTTTTGGCTGCCTGGCTTCTCCTGGAGAGGTCTCCGAGGGCAGCCCCCCACCCAGACTCTGTCCTTCCTCCCCCGCCTCCTCAGCCGTGTCCAGACGTGTATTGGTTCCCGCTGCTGTCAGACCAGATGTGTGACGAGCTGGTGGAGGAAATGGAGCATTATGGCCAGTGGTCAGGAGGCGGGCATGAGGTAAGGGGGCCTGGGGCAAGGAGGAGACAGGGTCCCTGGGGGAGGGAGGTGTGGCTGTAAGCCAGCGACATGGAATCTAGAGTGGCACCAGAGGGGTCGCCAAGAGGGAGGGGACTCACAGAGGGCATGGCTGTGATCATTCATTCATTCAAGAAATACAAGTCCCAGGTGGCGACCACAGGCCCAGGCGGGGTGGTGCATTGGGTTGCGCGGGCCCTGTCCGCCCCACCCCCTGCACATCACCACCTACAGTCAGTAGCAGGAGCCGAGCTTCTGAAGGCTGGGATGAGCAGCTCAGAGGCTGTGGGAGTCATAGAACAGGCCCTTGGCCCAGACATGGGGAACCTGAGAGGCTTCACAGAAGAGGTGACGTCTTCACTGAGACATAAAGGGCCTGCAGGAGTGAGTCAGGCTGAGTGGATGAGGCTGCCAGACATGGTTCCACAAGCTTTATGACCCAGGGCAAGAGGAGGGGGGAGGCTGGCGCCACCCCATTGGGACTCAGTGCCCACCGCCCACAGGACTCCAGGCTGGCCAGAGGCTATGAGAACATGCCCACCGTGGACATCCACATGAAGCAGGGCTATGAGGACCGGTGGCTGCAGCTGCTGGAGACTGTGCTGAGGACGGAGCACTGCAGCTGCTGAGTACGCGGGGCCCATGACAGAGAACCTGTTCCCAGGCGACCACACCAAGGTGGACCACTGCCCCTGTCCCCAGCGCCCTGCCCCCTCCCCTGCCTCCACATCTCTACAACACATTCCTGGCCAGAGGTTTCTAAGCATCACCTTTTCACCCCTCCTCGCCCCACCCTTAGTGGGCCTGAAGTGGGCCTGAAGGCTCTTGGGAAGGGATACCACGGGAGGGTAGCCCGGGAGTGGGGTAGATAGCAGCGCCGCCCCTGCAGCCTATCCCCCTGTTAGCCGGGGTTTTCACCCTTCAGGAACCCCCCACCAAGCCCCCAGGACCTCACAGCCTTCCCTCAGCCCCCTCTCTTGTGCCCCCACAGACCCAGGCGGTCATGAACTGTGTGGTGTGCTAACGGCCAGTTTAGCAGCCATCTCTGCTCCTCCATCACGACTCCTCCACCTTCACTCTCAACTTCGCCCTCAAGTACAAGGGCCTGGATATGAGGTGAGCCCGCGCTCCCAGGACCCCTCCACACACGCGTGCACGCCCCCACGCATTCCCCCCTGCTGTTCCACCCCCTGACATCCCCCACTAACCACTCAGTCAGCCTCCCTGCCACGGGCTCTCTTCCTGGCTGTCTGCCCCACTTCCTGGGCCTCCCTTGCCTCCCTTTCCCGCCCTGGGAGCTGCCTGCCCCCCAGTCCCCTGTGTGCTCACTCCCCACGTCTGTCACCTGTCCTCTTCCAGGAAGGTGGCTGCCGCTTCTTGCACTACGACTGCATCTCTGGTCCCCTTGGAAGGACTGGGGGCTCCTGCACCCCGACCGCCTCTCCCACTACCACGAGGGGCTGTCCACCACTCGGGGCATTCATCATGGTGTCCTTTCTCGACCCCTGACACTCAGCCACTCTGCCAGACCTGCCCTGCCGCTGTGCCTTCCCTGGGCCCCCTCCACGGAAGGGGGTCTGTCTGGCGCCTCGCTTCCTTAGTGGATGTTCCATGTCCTTGGGATTGAATGTGTCGCCTCCCCCACCAACACATGGCCCTATTTGGAAGCTCCTGCAGCCCCCCAACAGTGCCTGTCCCCATGGTCCCCAAGGACTCATGGGGAGAAGGCATCTGTGGGATCCCCATATAAAAAGTATTGGCTCTCAGTCTCCCTCTCAATAAAGGAGGATTTGTAACCCTTGAGTCCCTGTTCCTTCTTTCCCCTCCCTACTGACCCCGGATCCCTCCTGCCACCAGAGGAGAGGGGACACCTGGAGTTACTCCCAACACAAATTCCAGAGAACGGGAAAAGGCAGACACAGATGATAGAGCAGTGTGGGAACCTGTAGCCTTCTCTGAGTCCCATTTCTAACCCCATCCTTTTTTTTAACATTGTATTTTACTTATTTCGAGAGATGCAGACAGAGTGCAAGTGTAGGAAGGGCACAGAGGGAGAGGGAGACAAAGAATCTGAAGCAGGCTCCAGGCTCTGAGCTTGAGCACAGAGCCCAACATTGGGTCGAAGCCACCAATCGTGAGATCAGGACCCAAGCAAAAGTCAAACGCCTAACCGACTGAGTCCCCCAGGAACCTCAAGCCTGTCTTCTTGGTGGGTGGGGCTGCTCACGCTTCTGAATGGAACAAGCAACTCCCCCCTGGACTCCCTGCAGATGGAAGTGGGCTGAGCAAGGATGGGAGACAATACAACCTGGCCAGGTCCCTGGAGGCAGAAGAACTCATGACAGTGCATCAGGGGACAGGGACCCAAATGGTGTGTCAGCCTGAGTGGCACTGGAAGGAGCTGGTTTGTGGTGTCTCCTGTGCTGACTCCCCCATCTGCTGGGCATTTGTCAGCCGTGCTGATGAGAACCAGGCCTGTCTTCCCATTGTTTACATCCTGGGGGAGACCTGAATCAGAAAATCATCATGAAGGAAGGAAAGGTCATGATCTCATGGCTTGTGGGTTGGAGCCCCACATGAGGGTCTGTGCTCACAGCTCAGAGCCTGGAATCTCATTCAGATTCTGTCTCCCTCTCTCTCTGCCCCTTCCATGCTCATGTACCATCTCTCTCCCTCAAAAATAAGTAAACAGCCCAGTATTCACAGCCCAAGGTCCTGACCTCCCCAAGGTGCAAACACCTTCTTCACCCTCATACCCCTGGGCATCTCAGTTTGGTTCTATTGGTCACAGGTCTGTGGGCTCAGGTAGTGCTTAACTCTTCGTCCTGGGGCTCCCAAGGGTACAAGGTACAGAAAAGGGAGGGGAAACAGGGGCCAGGCCAGGACCACGGGTCAGGGGGGGTGGGCTGGACCACCAGGGACTGTACTTAAGAGCCCTCAGCAGCCCCTGTGGGATCGCCCCTCCATAGCTTGCTGGCTTCCTCCAGACTCTCCTCCAGGGTCTCCAAGCCATTACTGTCCTTCAGTGGAACTACTCCTTCTTGAGGCTCGGTGAGTGAGGCCCACCCCCTGGCACCCCACTTCCCTGTTTCCAGGAGGGAGTTGGGGCTGGAATCCATGGGGGCCCTTGAAGGAATGGAAGGAATTACCCGGGACAGAAGGGGCTGGAAACGACACCACAGGGAAGAGGAGGCAGAAAGGGGTCTGAGTATCCCTGCCCCCTCCCTCCCCGCTCCATTCTGCAGCCCAGGTGTTCATGGCCGTGCTAGTCCCTGTGCTCCTCGGCTGAGCCTGGATCCTAGCCCTCCTCTACCTGGTCCGGCTCTCTGCAGACAGGGACACGCCATGGGCAGGGGGCCACCGCTCTGCCTGGGTCCCCAGCTGGGCCATCTGGAGACATTTCAGAGATTACTTTCCTGTCTGGCGAGAGGCACCCAGGAAGAGTGTGCTGGGCAGGACTCTTCTCTGGTCACCGCCAAAAGTCTGATCTCACTGCCAGGTGGGGTATGTTCCCTGTGCCCCCAGCTGCTGAAAACCGCAGAGTTGGATCCCTCAGGCAACTACCTCTTTGGCTTCCATCCTCACGGGGTCCTGGTCATCCGGGCCTTCAGCAACTTCTGCACAGAGGCCACGGGCTGCTCCTGGCTCTTCTGGGCCCCGGGGCTCCTGCTGATTATGCCCAGTGGCTTCCATTTCCTTTTTTTCAGGGACTACATCATGCATAGTGCTGAGAAGGGGGGAGGTCAGCCTCAGCAACCCATCCCCCCAGCCCTAGGTGGCCACCTACTTCACCCTCCTACCCTGGGTTGGGCGTCCCAGTCTACCTGCCTGGTGCCCTCCTTCCCCTTTTCTAAAAGCACCCAGGTTTGGTGTCCTCTGACATGGCCAGCGGCGCCTATCTGCTGTCTGGGCCTGGGAGTGGCCCGGTGGCCGTCCCTGCTGTGGGAGGGCCCTCTCTGGAAGCGCTGGACAAAAAGTGGGCGCGCTGACCTAGAGGAGCTGGAATCACAAGGGATTGGTCAAGTTGGCGCCTGAACGCGGGTGAAGAAGCGGCCAGAGGAGGGGCGGGCCCCGCACAGGGTGCCACGTCCTGGAGGAGTGCCGCAAGCAGCGCTACTGGTGCTGAGGGAGGGGCGGGTGGCGAGACTCAGATTCACCAATGCCCTCTGTCCCCTAGGGCCTCCCTGGCGCCTGTCTCCTGTTTCAGAGCAAAGGAGTTCTTCCAGCAGTTCCGGAACCCTCTGGGCTCCTGGCTGTGAAGAGCGCAGGGGGCATTGCGGCCGCAGCAGAGGGTGGCCTTGTCGCTGTTCCACAGGCCCCTGTGCCTCCTCCTGCCCTTCTGCACGCCCGTCCACAGCCGCGGAGAGCCCCGGCCTCTGCCCGCTCAGTACACCCAGTCTCCGCAGAGCCCGGGCCCCCGCAGTCACAGCGCAGGGAGGTGAAGGTCCCTGACTGCGGGCCGCTCATCGGCCAGGCTCACCCCTGCTCCCTGCACCCCATGATGGCCTTTGGCAACCTCCTGGGCCCTGAACTCTGTCCCGGGTCATCGGGAAGGTGGGCGGGAAGTGGACGGGATGAGGATCCCAGCAACCACCCTTCTCACTTCCCGATCTGCCCGCAGATAGGGACGCCCCCACCCACCATCCCGGTGCCCTGAAGCTCACGGCCCATTCGGGTGCAAGTTTATGCGTGACACACACTCAGGTGGAGAGGGTACCTCAGCCTCTCCAAGAGCACAATGCACGCCAAGGCATCTGACCCACTGGGACTTTGCACTCACCTAGGCAAGCCTCCCTGACCCTCCTTGTCCCAGATACCACACTGCGCTGGGAGGGAAATTGAATGAGGGAACAGAGCTGCATTGCGTGCATGTTCTGCAGGGTTTCTCCACACTCCCGGAGACTTGGAGATAACATAGCCTCAGTGCAGCTTCTGGCCACCACCAGCCAGCTCTGGGGACCCAGTCTGCGGGGGCAGGGAGGAGGGGGACAGCTTCTTGGGAGACACCTTTATACAATCAATGTCCCACCTCCCTCACACACTTCCTGCCCCCTCCCAACTCCGCCCAGAGGCCAGTCCTGACCTATCAAACCTGACAGTTCAAAGGTCATTCTGGAGACTCTGGCGCTCCCAATCCAAGATCTCCCAATCCACTCCACACAGGCACACAACACTCCCGCGGTCCTGCGAGGCTCCGACGACTGGCCCTTCTCCTGTGAAAACCTCCATCCCTTCGGTGCCCAAACCTTTCAGGTTTGTGCTCTGGCTCCAGGACCCCTGCTGGCAGAGGAGCACTACTGGACAGGAGTCTCCCACAGCCCTGCAGTGCGCCTCCACCATGGAAACCCAGCAGAAACAGTGGCTGGAAATAATAGGCGCCTACCAATGGGTGCTCACTGTCCTCTTCCTGGGTGAGAATTCTGGTGGCCTGGGTTCTCCAAGGAGAGCGGGGAGTGGGGGCTAAAAGGCTAGAGCCCCCCCCCTTGGAAAGGGAGCAGGAGAGGGCCAGGGGTGGCTGGGTGCACCCTCCCAATCTGTGAGCCGGGAGGAGAGGAACAGCTGGACTGGACCACCCAGCATCAATACCTAAATGCTTCTCTTTTTTGTCCTTCATCCAGGCCCCTTCTTCTCCATTCTCCTCCTCTTCCTCCTCTTCACGCCACTCTGGTCTCTCTCTGTTCTCTACTTCGCGTGGTTCTTCCTGGACTGGGACACTCCCAACCAAGGTGAGCATGCTCGGACTGGCACCCGGGGAGCAGAAAAGGTGGCTGAGTGCCCCTGAATCTTCCACCCATCTCTCTGCCCCAAGGTGGAAGGCGCTTGGAGTTCATGAGGAAGTGGAGTATTTGGAAACAGCTAAGAGATTACTATCCGGTCAAGGTGACAGGTCACCGTGTACAAAGACTCTCTATCTCCTCCCTTTCCCCCATATCACACATTTCCTCACCTTGCCTATGCACCCCTGGGCATTCTAAACTCAGACCTTGGGGCACGGAGGAGGGGGAGGGGGCAGAATTCTGCCCACAGTAGCTCCCACACCTGCTGTTGACTCAGGGATGACCTTGAACACTGAAGTCTGTGGGGTGGAGGGCAACTCTTTTCATCTGATGTCTTGCCTTCCATGCTGCTTTCTCCTCATCCTGATCAATGTCTCTAAGCTGGTGAAAACAGCAGAGCTGCCCCCTGACCGGAAATATGTGCTGGCTGCTCACCCACATGGGATCATGTGCGTGGGAACCTTTTGTAATATCTGCACCGAGGCGAATGACTTCTCCAAGCACTTCCCCGGGATTCAGGCCGTGTTGGCAGCACTGCACACCCTCTTCCACTTCCCAGTCTATCGAGACTATGTCATGTCCTACGGTGAGGCACCCCTCCCCAGTCCCAGCCAGACTGTCCCTCATCCAACAGACACGGGGACGTGGCCTAAATGTTGGCAGGGCTCACAGTGGGCATCAGTGAGTAGCTTTGGAGCAAGTGTCCTGCCCCTCTGCTGAGAGAGGCTCTATAGGTCACATGGGGCAGCACGGGACACAGGGCAAAGGTTTGTATGTAATGGGGTATGGGGCACACACAAAAAGGGTGGGTGAGGGGCTAGGCAGCCCAGCAGTGGATGGCGATGGTGATATCTCACCACCTCCTCATGCATGCAGGACTGTGTTCTGTGAACCGGAGGAGCCTGGACTTTGTTCTCTCTCAGCCCCCGAGCGGGCAGGCTGTGGTCATTGTGGTTGGGGGCGCGCAGGAAGCCCTGTATGCAATCCCAGGGGAGCACAACCTCGTTCTGCAGAATCGCAAAGGCTTCGTGCGCCTGGCACTGAGACACGGGTGAGTGGGGTGCAGGTGCCCAGCCGGGGGTGCTGCTGATGGTCAGAGGTATGCATTGCATCTGGGGGCCCACACTTTGCCTCTACATGACCAGGTCCCTGTGGGTGGGCCTCTGTGTCCCCAGAGCTGGCACTGTGCCTTGCACCTGCAGGACCCTCATGGCAGCACTTTTTTCTTTTAATGTTTATTTCTTTTTGAGAGAGAGACAGAGACCGAGTGTGAATGGGGGAGGAGAGATGGAGACACAGAATTCGAAGCAGGCTCCAAGCTCTGAGCTGTCAGCACAGAGCCCGATACAAAGCTCAATCTCACAAGTCTAAACATCATGACCTGAGCTGAAGTTACACACCCAGGCGCCCCTTCTCATGTCAGCATGTGCGGGTGTTCTCTGTTTCAAGAGTCATTCCCACTTTCTCTTCCAGTCTTCCTTCCCTGAAAGAGGCAGGATCACAGCGCGGGTAGCAGGACCTTTTGCCCAGAAGCCCTTTGTTCAAATCCCTTTCTGACACTACTTCAAAGGCAAGACCTCAGACATGTGTCTTTACTTGCAAAACAGACTCATAGCCTAACATTGCAACGATATTATAGTTGCAACGACTAGATGAGGAATTGTATACAGTTGAGTCTTGAACACCACAGGTTTGAACTGCATGGGTCCCTTATACATGGATTTTTTAGAACATTTTTTACGTTTATTCTGAGAGAGTGAGAGCAGGGGGTGGTAGGGATGGGGGTGAGGGACAGAGGATCCAAGGGAGGCTCTGTGCTGACAGCAGAGAGCCGGATACAGGGCTTGAACTCACACACCATGAGATCATGACCTGAGCCGAAGTCAGATTTTTAACTGACTGAGCCACGCAGGAACCCCTTAACAGCACTTTCTTTTCTCTACTCACTGTATGGTAAAAATACAGTATAAAGAATAGATACAAATATGTGTTAATCAACTGCCCCTGTTTCTGGACATGCTGCTAGGAGCTAAATTTTGCAGAGGTCGTCCAAGGTGTTCTGTGTGCACCGGGGTGGGGGTCAGGGCTCCCTAACCGCCATGTGCTTCAAGGCTCAGCTGGTGACAAAGGCCCTGTACGCAATCATTTCTCAAGAATTGTGCATCCCTGCTTTCAGATCTTTCATTGTCATTTGCTTGAAAAGACCTGGGGAAGTGGAGGCAGGTGTGGGGAGGGGTCTGCAGTCCCATCTTGGGTGCCCCGAGAGCCGCTGGCCTGAACACCCCTCCTCTCTCTCCCTGTCCCTGCCCAGTGCCTCCCTGGTACCCGTGTACTCCTTTGGAGAGAACGACATCTTCCATTTGAAGGTTTTTGCCCCCAACACCTGGCAATACCTGTGCCAGATGACCTTCAAGAAGCTCACAGGCTACAGTCCCTGCATCTTCTGGGGCCGCGGACTCTTCTCGGCCGACTCCTGGGGCCTGCTGCCCTTTGCCAGGCCCATCACCACCGTGGGTGAGTGCCCGTCTCAGGGGCAGGACGGCAGAGGCCCCCCCACCCCGACCTCACCTGTGTCCCCCCTCTCCCTGCAGTGGGCCGCCCCATTCCAGTGCCACAGAGCCTCCACCCCAGCGAGGAAGAGGTGGACCACTATCACACGCTCTACATGCAGGCTCTGGAGAAGCTGTTTGAGGAGCACAAGGAAAGCTGTGGGGTCCCTGCCTCGACTCACCTCACCTTTATGTAGCCGCGGCCTGGCCATCCGCCCCCAGCCCGGAGTCCCCCCCACCCTGGAGCCCCAGGACACCGGGGCCTCCCCCTAAGGATGACTGTACTGCCTCAATAAAAGCTCCTTCTCTCCCACCACTGCTTTCTAGAACCGGATGGCTGAGAGCTCACGTTGCTCCTCTGTGGGTAACCCGCCCCCATCTCACATGCCATGAAGCCACTTTAGTACTTTATTCTTATTAACATTCATTTTGAGAGAGAGAGAAAACATGTGAGCGGATGAGAGGCAGAGAGGGAAGGGGAGACACAGAATGCAAAACAGGCAACAGGCTCCAAGCTGTCAGCACAGAGTCCGACACGAACCTATGAACCTTGAGATCAGACCTGACCTGAAGTCTAACCCTTAACCCAGTGAGGTGCCCAGTCGCCCCACAGCTGCTGCCTCAGATTGGATGCCAGAACCCTGAATTCTCTTCCCAGCAAGACTCAATCCTGTTGCAGGGGCTGACATAGGGCTCTTTCCTTTGCTGAGCCCTTTCTCCCTCTGTGAATGTAGGTGTCTGCTTCACTGAGAGCAGCAGGGCCTCAGGATTGAGCTGGGGAGGGTGGCTCTGTGGAGGGGGAGGTGTTGCAGGGTGGGCTGCGGAAGACAGGATGCCTGGTGCAGCATTATGGGCAACACTGAGCTCGGCCCAGGGCATCTGGCTTCATGGGGAGGGACTGGATCTCCCGTTGTGAAAAGGCAGTGTTAGTACACAGCGCCCTTCTGCATCCTCTGTCCATCTTTATGGTCCTTGCAGCTGGGAGCTGAGGGTAAACAAGGACCTATCCGACCAGCACGGAGCCCGACTGCAGGCCCAGCATTAGGCCAACAGGAGCCTATCAGCTCAACAAACACAGAACTCTGGCGAAGATCAAAGATTTAATATTGAAGTTTCATGAGTTCGAACCCTGTGCCTGACTCTGCTGACAGCCTGGGATTCTCCATGCTCTCCCTTAGCCCCTCCCAGGCTTGTGCTGCCTCTCTCTCTCTCCAAATAAATAAACTTAAAAAAAATACTTAAGGGCTTAGAACAGAGATGCCAAAATAGTCTCAACCCCATTATGGGCATGGCAACAGTCCAACCAGAGGCCAAGACCGAACAGTCTAGGGGGACCTTATGTGGTCATCGTGACTACAGATGTGACTACAAAGGTGACTACATCAATCCCAATTGCTTACTGGCTTTGCCCAGTCTGTATCCAGGGCTGAATCCAGGAGGTAAGAATATCTTGTAGAAGTGTCATTGGGATGCACTATACTTGCCTCCCACTGTCTTATACAGTATATTCAGGAAGAATTTTTTCTTGTTCCTGGAAGAAAACCTGGGCAGTCCTGTGATTTATCTGCATCCTTCTCAGGTGAAAACTTCTTTCATCTTAAGTTAGTACATAGAGGGGGCACCTGGGTGGCTCAGTCAGTTCAATGTCTGACTTCTTGATTTCAGCTCAGGAAACGATCTCCCAGTTTAGTGGTTTTGAGCCCCAGCATCGGGCTCTGCATTGACAGATAGCACAGAACCTGCCTGGGACTCTCCCTCACTCTCTGCCACTCCCCTGCTCATGCTCTCTCTCTCTCTCTCTCTTAAAATACATAAATATATAACTAAAAAAATTGTTCACAACCTGTAGCTTGGGTAGTAATCTGTACTTTGACCTTGAGACAAGGGTAGGAAATTACTGCCCTCCAGCAAGGGTGGCAAGCTGGCTGCTTGCTTGGGCAGGAGGAGCAGCCCAGCTTGGCAAGCCAGAGTAGAAAGGTTGGAGCTGACCTCTTTTCATCTCCCTCCCTCACTAGCTGTTGTGACTGATTCCTTTTCCTCCTGAGGGCCTCTCACGGATTCTCAGGACCATCTTGTTTTAGATTCCTCTGGAACGACCTACTTCAGACTCATAGGGTTTAAAACCTTTTTCATTGAAACACAAAACAGACAAGTGTAGAACTCACAAGGGCACAGTTCCAACTGTCACCGACTGAGCAGACACAGGGGTTTTCTGGAAGTGGGTGAGATGGACACGCAAGACCCTGGGACAGCAGCACGGACACCTTTGTGTTTGGGTCGAGGAAAACTGTCACCCACCGGCTTCCCAGCACTCTCTACCCCTGGATTTCTCTCCTGGGTGGGAGCCTGCTCACCCCAGGGGAGCCAGGAGAATACATCTGGAAGCCTTTCTGGAGAAAGAAGAGCAGGCTGGAGGACGTTAGGCCCTTGTTCATCTGTTTTGGGAGCTCCAGACCCAGACAGTGAGAACCCAGCTAGGGTCTGACTTGAGCCCTGTGCCCAGTGCCCATTCACCCGCCCCCTACGCAGACCCTAAAGTGCTTTGGGATTCTGGCCATCAACTCTCAGGGGTGAGCTTTCCTCAGGCCCTTCTGCCTGTCCTTCCTCCCCGAGCTCCAGCCACCGCAGATCCTCCTCAGCGGCTTGCTTCTCTCTGGCCCTGAAAAGCCAAGCTCTCTACACTGTGTGCTCAGTGTGCTCTGTGTCCTGAACCACCTGGCGTCACCAGATTATCATTCCCCGCAGTTACATGCTGGAGGTGCCCGAATACCTACACCGCCTTCCTCTCTCCCCACCTTCCAGAAGCCCACTCAAAATTCCTGGCCTCCTGTGTCTTCCTGCTAAGTGGGTCTTAGCGTCTCCTTCCCCTCCGTGCCCCCCTCCCTCCATGGATTCCCGCTGGGACCTCCCCTCAGCCCTCAGGGGTCTTGCCTCTTGTCTCCCATCCAACACCTTCTCTTGCTGTCAAGATGCTCTTCCTAAAATGCTGTTTTCATCACATAATTCTCCCTATTGGATCCTCACTGCCTTTGGACCTTTGTTGTCAGAAAGTGCAAAAATCCTCAGCACAGCTTTCGAGGTTCCCCTCAAATAGAGCCCAGCCCAGCTTCCTAACGGGGCCTGACCTGGCTCTCCTTCCTGTCTGGGGAATAGACGGGACCCCTACCATCAAGTCATAGCTCCACCCCCTGGTGTTCAGCACTTACCACGTGCGGGTATTGGCAGCTCACATATCCCCTCTGATCCTGTCGTGTGCACCACAGGGTCACACTGAGCTCCAGATGAGCTACGCATGGAAAGGTCTTAGCGTGGCACCTGTCAGGGTTCTCACCAACATCAGCTAGTGCCACAATTCTCTTCACACAAGAGCTTCTCCTGACCACACCCCCTCACAAGTAGTACATTGAATGTAATTACATTGCTTTCTGTTACCTTATGTTACATTACGTTACGTTACATTACATTACATTGTTGCAGTACGTGATCACGGGCACCATCAAATTAGGAGGACAGTGGTTCTGCTGCCCCAACATAGGGCTGATTCCTGATCTTTCATCTCATGGTACTGAATGCTAATGTTAAGGGAAACCAGTGTGTCTTGTTCGGTTTTGCGTTTTGAGTGTGTTAGGGTGATCCCCATGCCTTGCGCATGAGGAGTGCTAAACACATGAAGAAACCTCGTCCAGGACACCTGCTATAGAGGGACACAGCCATCCGCTTTTCAGGTTGCACCCAGCACCAGGAAGCCCAGTGGAGGGCAGGAGGGCTCGGGGGTCCCTTCAAGAGCCAGAGGGGGGCAGTGCATGGATCATGGCAGAAAGAGAGCTATACAGGTTTTTTGGGGCTACTGTAACACCATACCACTCGCTTGGTGATTAGAAACAAGTTCATTGACTCACTGTTCCAGAGGGCAATACAAGGTGTGAGCTGGGTCTGATCCCTCTGACACAGGTAGAGGAGAAACCCTCCCTCCCCTCTTCCAGCCCCTGTGGTGCATCAACCCTCGGCTGGGGCTACATCACCCCGCCTCTGCCTCTGTTGTCACATGGACTTCCCCCTCTGTGTCGTGTCCAAAGTTCCCTCTCCTCATAGAACACCGGTCATACTTGACAAGGGCCCATCCTTAGGATGACCTCAGCTCATATGGTAATGTCTGCAAGCAACCTATTTTCAAATATGGTCTCTTTCATGGGTAGGAGGAGTTAGGACTTCCATATATCTTTGTGAGGCAGGGGGACACAATTCAACCCACAACAGATGCCTTTTTAAAATTCACAAAAGGGTGCCTGGGTGGCTCAGGCGGTTGGACATCCGACTCTTTTTTTTTTTTTCTTACAAATAGTTTATTGTCAAGTTGGTTTCCATATAACACCCAGTGCTCGTCCCCACAAGGTGCCCTCCTCCATGCTCATCTCCCCCCTCTCCCCCCCCACCCATCAGTCCTCAGTTTGTTCTCAGTATTCAAGAGTCTCTCATGGTTTGCCTCTCTCCCTCTCCCCCACTATTTCCCCCCTTCTTCTCCCCCTTGGTCCTCTGTTAAGTTCCTCTTAATCCTCCTATACGTGCAATCATATGGTATTTGTCTTTCTCTGCCTGACTCCATCCATGTTGCTACTCATAGACATCCGAATCTTGATCTCAGCTCACATCTTGACCTCAGGGTTATGAGTTCAAGGCCTGCGCTGGGCTCCATGCTGGGCATGGACTGTTCTTTAAAAAAAATCACCCCAAAATCCTCTGTGCTAGTGCCTGGGGACTGCACCACCCAGAGGTGGCCTCTTGTGCTAATTATGTTCAGGGAAAATGATGAGCATTCGCCTTGGGATCTTTCCTTGGGGACGAGTGCGGGTCAAGTGCCCAGAGGAACATGGATCACTAAACTCTCCTGAAGGGTCTATTCTGTTTTCAACCTTACTGAGCTCCCCTGTCCCATTCCTCCTCCCGTGTAGCTGTGTTATAAACCCCAACACTGTGATTTCTCCTTCTGATCTGGAAGAGTCTAACTTATAAATGTATGACCCCAAGAAACCTTATGAATTGAGCTTTCTCCCTGGTCTCAGGGCTTTTTCCTTCCCTGCCATCCTCCATGTGGCCACCAGAGGGCGGTCTCTACTCACAAGGTACATGTGTCACTCTGGCTTTAAGCCCTCTCCACCCCCATCCTCTCCCCCTCCTGCCCCTGACCCCCTTCCCCACTGCTACTCTGCCCCTATCTTGGGATGGATACAGCCCAGAACTGCTGTTATTGTTAAAAAAAAAAAAAAAAAAAAGGTTGCTGCTTGCCTCTGGGCTTTGCTCAGGCTGTCTCCTCCTGTGGGGGTCCTTCTTTATCTTCTGGAGTAGATCCTTTACAACTCAGTTCAGGTCCCTCTTCCAGGACACATCTCTTAACCTCCCAGCCTGCCTGGCGGGTCTAGCACATGCCAGAGCTCGACGCGGGGCTTGAACCCACGAACTGTAAGATGATGACCTGAGCAGAAGCCAATCACTTAGGGGCTCCTGGGTGGCTTAGTCGGTTAAGCATCCGACTTTCGCTTTGGTCATGATCTCGCGGTTCGTGGGTTCGGGCCCCGCGTCGGGCTCTGTGCTGACTGCCAGCTCAGAGCCTGGAGCCTGTTTCAGTCTGTGACTCCCTCTCTCTCTGACCCTCCCCTGCTCATGCTGTCTCTCTCTCTCTCCTAGAAATAAAAAAAAAAAAAAAGAAGCCAATCACTTAACCTACTGAGCCACCCAGGCACCCCTCAACTCTTCTTTTTACAACCACTATGACCTTGGGGCACTGTGTGGCTCAGTCAGTTGAGCGTCTGATTTTGGCTCAGGTCATGATCTCATGGTTTGTGGGTTCGAGCCCTGCGTGGGACTCTGTGCTGACAGCTAGCTCAGAGCCTGGAGCCTGTTTCAGATTCTGTATCTCCCTCTCTCACAGACCCACCCCTGCTCACACCATCTCTCTCTCTCTCTCAGAAATAAATTTTAAAAAAAACATTAAAGATTTTTTTAAAAAGGAGTTGATCACCACTGAAAGGTACTGAGGCACCAGCTTAGTACCTTTTGTTCTTTTGAAAATTAACAAAGAAAAGGAAAGGCTGTAAGCATTCACCATGTCTATACTTCACAAACTACACCTCAGGGTAATCAGAGTACAGAAAACAGAATGACTGAACAAGATTATCAAGTATTGCAACCCATTAATATCTGATTGGATTGGAGCCTTTGATTGGGTTGAGCATCAGGGTCTTTTGAGATTCCCACAAAATAAACTACATTTCAGCCTTTGATGGAATAATAGGTCCTTCCCAAAACACCACAACGGGATCCTCAGGAAGAAATTGACTGTGAGCCACTGTATGACTTAATCTTCTCTGGTAGTAACCACTTTAAAAACCTCATTTTCAAGGGTGTGCCTTGCTGGCTCAGTTGGCAGAACTTGCAATTTTTTTCTTTTTAAGGTTCATTTATTTTTGAGGGGAACCTGAGTGGCTCAGTTGGTTGACCATACGACTTCAGCTCAGGTCATGATCTCGCGCTTCGTGGGTTCAAGCTCCGTGTCGGGCTCTGTGGGGCTCTGTGCTGACAGCTCAGAGACTGGAGCCTGCTTGAATCTGTGTCTCCCTCTCTCTCTGCCCCCTCCCCCACCTATTCTCTGTCTCTTTCTCTCAAGAAGAAATAAACTTAATGTTAACGTTTATTTCTTCTTGAGAGAAAGAGAGAGAGATACAGAATCCAAAGCAGGATCCAAACTCGGAGGTGTCATTACAGAGCCCAATGAGGGGCT